ATATATATATGTTTATTTTCATAGCAAAAACAAGTTTTCCGAAGTTTTTTTTATGGTTGTTGCTGTTATTTAGTTATTTGTTAATGCTTTTATTTTTGTGCGTCGGGTAATTTCTACAGAATTTTGCACAAGAATGCCAAAAATATATTCAAAATAATATCCACGTGATATAACTTATGAAAGAAAAGACGAAATTAACGAAAATATTTATATTTTAATCGCAAAGATAGGTTAACGGATAAATTCCTTGCTTGAAATAGATACCTCCACCTTTATTTCTGCCTTGAAATACGCATTTTTGCGCTGTTGCCAATAGCTTTCAATTCTTAGCTAAGATTTGGGTCGGTGCAAAGCAACTCAACCTAAAGGTTCACCTTAAGCTTAGCCTCTACCTAACTTAATTTGTTTTTAAGGAACACCGGTGCAAATAGCTGTATATCACTTATCTTAATGAAGTAATATTGACAAGCTCTCCGTTTTTATTTATTTTTGGTTTTCCATAAGCCGATGAGAAAAAATGAGAAAACAGACCGACAGTGCCTTCCACACTCTCACTTACTTGACCGTTATAATTAAGACAGATAGGAATGCCATTATCTGTTCGATACATACGTACATGCTGCCAGACTGATTGTGGGTCTGTGGTTATTTTATTCTCAGTTTCACTCATGTAACTGTTATAACACGACTTTGCCTGCCTTTTACACAAATCCCTGAGACTGCAAAAAGCATAATAATCATTAACATCTCCAGTCTGTTTATATTTTTTGTGAGCCAATTCTACTATACTACAATACTAAGAAACATGTAAATATATTATTTGGAAATCAAATTGTATATAGATATTCCAATAATAACACAATTAGGAAAGAGATAATCAAACTATTTGGTAATAAAAAGAGAATAATATTCTTCTTACCAAATAATCCAATATCACAAATTACTAATTTAGTAAAGGAATACATGCCACGTGGTATCTATTGCCTTCATTTTCTAAATAAATCTTTAGAACATATTGTGATACGAGCATTATAAGAATCGTTCAATTCGAATTCATTTACCTTGTACATCTCGAACTCTTTCTTACAAGGCATCATAGAAGTTGAGAAAATTCAGCAATATCATGAGACTACAACCTCTCATAGCGGAATCACTGAAAATGTTGCAGCCTTAAAGAAACGATTCTATTGGCCCAATATCGAGAAAGACCTACAGAAATATGTCAAAGCATGCGAGACATGCAATAAAACCAAGTATGAACGACAACCATACAAAATCATATTTAAACCAACACCTACTGGTACGAAACCCTTTGAACATATTTATATTGACAAATATATGATCAATAACCAGAAATGTCTGACCATTATTGATAGCTTTTCAAAATTTGGTCAAGTCTCTCCTGTAAATACCAAAACAGCTGTAGAGATAACATCACTGTTATTGAAATATTTTAGTGATCACGGAATACCTCAAAAAACTACATCAGATAATGGAGCAGAGCTCAAAAATGCTACAATGACAGATCTTTGTACATTATACAAAATTGAGTTTCATTACACAACTCCAAGAAATCCGAACTCGAATAGTCCAACTGAAAGATTCCATTCGACACTACGTGAAAGTTTAAAACTCCAAAATCCGAATAAAAGTATTATTGATCTAATGACAATTGGTATTTGAATTATAACAACAGTACTCTTAGTATATAAGTACAATGATTCACACCCCTTTTCAAGTGAAAAAAGGAAATTTGAATTATGCCATACCAATTAAACAAACAGAAAATAAACTAACAACTGACTTTATAACAAGTTTGGCAAAATCGCTTGCAAATTTGAATAAAGAAATTCAAGAAAAATTGTTAGCGAAACAAACAAAGTCTTTAGAATCACGCAATAAAAATCGTCAACCCGAACCAAAATTACAAGATCCCATTTTCGTAAAACAATTTAATAGAGACAAGATAAGTCCGCGTTATGATAGCAAAACACAGAATCGCTTTGGTAAACAAAATGTTAAACGACAATAATTTATTTCAGGCACTCCGAGATGAATCCTTTAGTAAGTATTCCTTACTCTCGTTGGAGTCACCCAAGCGTATATACATTGATGACAGTAGAAAATCCTATCTTACCAATCTCCTTAGGAACTACTTACGTAACAACTCAACATAACACGGCCTATTATCACATTAACACGACAATTATCATACAAGGTATTCATAAACTAGAAATAATAATGAAATTATCTGAGACACTAAATGAAACAACATGGTCAAACCAATTTGTTACACTGTTTCAAACAAATATCGAAACCAGTTATTCTCAAATTAAGATCATGAAACAAGTCATCAAAACCTATCAAGACTGAAAACGAAACATAAGAGGTCTATTAAATTTCATGGGCACAGCACAAAAATGGCTCTATGGAACCCTAGATGCTGAAGACGGCGCAAGATATGATTCTTATGTCCAGACACTTAATGATAATCAAAAGACTCTCAATGGAGATCTAAAAATACAAGCTCAAGTATTGGAACAAGTTACAAAAACATTCCACGATCAATTTATAACTATTGAATCTAACTAAAAGGAAAATTACAAAATGTATCCTTGGAAAACCAATATTTCCGTTCAATGTTAACCTTTAATTTAATCGTGATCATTTAATTTTTTTAACCATTAATTTAATATTGAATAATATCAATATCCAAAGTAATAAAATAAAGAATCTAATTGATCATGTGCAATTAGCAATAAATTTTGCACAATTGGGAATAGTCCATTATACTATTTTTTCTCCAAACGTCACAAAAACGTCACTTTCTTAACACCTGTCAAGATGTCAGAAATTTAATTTCTATGCTGCTAGGCAAATCCAGCAGGTTAACACCTGTCGAGGTAGTAGACATTTTATTTCTATGCTGCTAGGTAACCGCAGCGGCAGTAGAAGTACTTTTAGTGCCGCTGGAGCAGCAGCAAAAGTACTTTTAGTGCCGCTCGTACTTTTACTGCTGCTCTACGAATCAGTTACCCCCGAGCTTATCCCATTCGTTTGGAGAAAAAATAGCCTGTTGCATACGGAGTAGAAGCACTTTTTTGTGCTTCAGAAGTATTGCAAGCCTCACTACGTTCGGCTCGCAAACCTATTGCTTCAGCACAAAAAAGTAAAGCTTCTACTTCTAATACAACAATATACTATTACAGCATAATGAATTAAATCAAATATTAAAAAATATACCTAACAAAGTCAAAAAATACCTTTTGATAATAAAATCACGTATCACAAGACAATGAAAACTCAAGTAAAAATCCAAAATGAGTTAATTAATTTGTTATACACACACCATTAGGAATAAGTACCCTTACCTTTTACTTATTACGGACATTTACTGCAATACTTTATGGAAATGCCCAAAAGTGGAAAATGTTTAACTTTGTAACCAAGAAGAACTCAAGCAAGAAGAATCATTTGTCTATGACCTGATTACTAACGTACCACAACAATGTCCTTTCAATAAAGTGAAATATGAGAAACCAACAGTGAGACAACTCCCGAACGCACAACTATTAGTCATTCCTAAGAAAAGCCTGACGATAGTTATCCAATGTGACAAGACAAGCCATATGGAAATTAAAACCAATCCAACGCTATTTTCTTTTGAAAAATGCTTTGTAAAAATACAAAATCAAACATTTTAAAATACCAGCGAGAACCAGAGAATGAAATAACATTGGAACTTCAAGAAATCAACCAAGAAGACCTAGAAGAAGCCTTCAAGACGACGAGACAAATAGGAGTTCACAACCTCAAAGAATTGTCCTTTGAAAACTCTTATTTAAATAAATATTTAATCACAGGTTTATTTTATCCATAATTTTATTGTTTTACTGTTTTAGGAAGTTTAAAATTCCAGAAAAAGGTTGTGCAAATGTGCAAATTGAATTGTCTGATTTGAATAAACAACAATCCACGTTTGCAACATCTTGAGGGAGGAGTTATATTAACCAATTGCCACGCTATTCAATAATCAATTATCCATTTTTCATATGCTTTAATATGCTTACCCCTTTCCACCATGGTTTTTCAAATACATTATTGTAAAGTAAACATCAAGTTGCTATATCGGCATTAAATTATTATTTAAACCAGCGCAGTCCCATAAGAAACGATCATTTGTTCTAAAGCTTTTGCTGTCGCAACTTGATCCACATATTTTCTTTTGTCACCTCTGTATTTTGATTAATAAAATAAATGTTTTTTAAATTAAAAGTTTCTGAATCGAAAATATAATTGATGTTTGATTCTATGTCTCTCTACGTAACGTAATTTTGTCTTAGCTCCAGGTTATATTAATTGTTGTGACTGCTTATGTACTAATTTCATCCCAAATACTTGATGTTTTCATTATTATTTTTTTATTATTACTATTATTTTTACATTATGATTCCATGTTGTGACAAAGCCACTTTTATATTGTAAATCTATCAATCTATGGTGAATAAAATGAAATAGAAATGAGATAATGAGAGTTTTGAGGTTCACTCAAAACCACGCATTTTATATGTCTTAACCCGGAGACGTTGATCCATAATTAAACTCGTATGCTTCGCGAAACACCGGAAATCATCTCCCTTTCAATATTAAACAAGGATAATTGAGTTTATAATGAACAAAAAAAACATAACAACAGTTAAACAACGGCAGCTGGTCGAATCTTATTAGGGCTGTAACACAAAGCCTCATCAAAGACTCAGCGATCCTGAAAGATAACAAATTATACGCTTTGAACGTTGTCTGGGTAAAAAACGAACGAGATAAACGGTAGCGACGTGTAAAAGCTGGCAATTTTGATTCCAATATTGCAACGAATTGACCAATAACAGTTTTGCTATAATCAGGATATGAGAAAGTCTAGAAACGTCTAGCCAGTAATATCTTTTTTTGAAACTACAAATTGAAAATTTTAATTGGACATTTTCTTTCACTTTTTACAGAATCAACTACCGAACTTATCGATGGAAAATACGGCGACGTATCCGCTCAGCTTATCTACGGCACCTTTACTTCACCTCCAAACAGTATATCTGGAAGTGCAGTGTGTGCTTTCAGTCTCCAAGACATTACCGACACTTTCGAGGGTAATTTCAAAGAACAAGCAGCTCTTAATACCAACTGGCTACCGGTAGTTAGCAATAAAGTACCAGATCCACGTCCAGGGCAGTGCCACAACGACAGCAGGACTTTGCCAGATTTGACATTGAATTTTATTAAGACGCACTCGCTTATGGATGAGAGTGTACCGAGCTTTTTTGGTCAGCCTATTGTTATCAGGACTAGTTTTCAGTAAGTACCCAATAGGCGCCAGTTATTTTGTTGAAATCCAGATGATCGGAAATAATATTTTCCTACATAGTTGGCATAATTTTTTTCAAATAATGTTAAAAGTATACGGAGGTTATGATGTTTCCATGTTGAATTTTATCTGGGTAAAAAGCTCTAGAATTATGCTTTTTGAACTTGGTTCTAAATTTAAAATCCGATGGTAGATATCCCCAAGGATTAAATGTTGCAATCTAACTAAAAAAAAAACGGAAAATAAATAGGTACTGAAAAAAAAAACAAATCAAGATTGATTTATTCTATAATTCTATCCATTTTACTAGTCGTGTTGTGATATGCAAGAAAGCTACAATGGCTTTTTCTCGAGTAATATTACAAACCAGTTTTAACCCTTTCTAGGAGTGTTGCGGTGAGGCAAAATATGGAATTAACGCTTTTGTTATGTTTGATGCTAGAACATTATTATTATTGTCTTGTCTTAATATGGAAGTATACCTATATGGGATAAGAGCCTTATGGTCCGTTTCAAAATCAATAATTTTGCTTTATATAATTGATTTCCTAGTAACTACTCGCTTATAAGGAGCTTGATAGTCAGTCAAATTTTACCTCAGTTGGCACTGTAGAAAAAACTTGAAGAGCAATAGTACCAAACCCAGTTTTCAGTTTGCCGCAGAAACAACACCATGTAGTTCCATTTTCGCTTTCCACATATATATCACTGCAATTTCTTACGTCTTGAAAAGGCCTAGTTTCAGTACCTACCTACCCTTCTCCATATACTAATGGCATTTCTGAAGCAAATGGGGAAAAGCGCAGCAAAGTAGAAGTGAACAGTGAACATCCTTGATGAGCTTTCTGCTAACCATTGTGTATCCAAACAATCGCCGTTAGCCATTGACCTTATTATCTCCATTTATGATAGGTTAGTACTTTCTGCAGTGAATGATTTAGGATATCGAGCAAATACTCACCAAATTAAATTTAGTGGTCCATCATTTTTGAAAATCTTGGTTGCAACTTATCGCCGATTTTTAAGAGCAGAGAGTGAAAATCCCTGTCTTTTTAGACCATTGAGTCAAGAAATTTGAGTTTATCTCATAAAACTATTTCTGAGAATAGTTAATTCCGTGTAACGTAACGGAGAAATAACTATTTCCGAGTTACGTAACGCAGAAATAACGTTGATAAAATAAAAAAAATATGCAGAAATAGTTAATTCCGTGTTACGTAACGGAGAAATACCTATTTCTGAGTTATGTAACGCAGAAATAACTTATAATATAAAAAATAAAAAAATATATATATATATACGTGTCCCTTCTACGCCTTCGTATTTTCGCATTAAAAACTCCTATAACGAGTGGACTTTGTTTTGTTCTCGTGCAGACACTGTGTTACCTCTTCATAAAGTTTCTCTACCTCTTGGTCCTCGTGGTCGGTTGTTGGTGCGTAAATTTGGATGACTTTGATTGTTACATTATTGTTGATTTTCAATGTTATGTATATTACCTTGTCAGATTTGCTCTTGAGTATTTGTATGTATGGGACCATTCGTTTGTGTATCAGGATTCCAACTCCTCCATTATTGCTCATCACTTTTGTAGAATAGGACGTGATTTGATTTTAGCCTTAGACATTCTTCTTCTTTTCTTCTGACTTCAGTCCTACTTTGTCCCAATTTATTCTACAGAGTTCGTGATTAGTTCCTCTAACATTTCTCCATTTTTCAAGGTCCTTCCATTGTATGTTCCGATATATAGCTGGCAGCCTGGTCCACTCCAGGGATTCTTAGCAACCTCTCTTCGGTCGTTGGTCTGTCCGCTGCCTTGGTCAGGGCTAACCGAACTGCTGGAGACTGAGGGCTCTTTCCTTTGTCTTTCTGTCATTTTAGAGGAGTTTTGCTATGAAACAACACGTTGGCAAGACGTCTTGGTGAGTGAGAACTTCAGCCGCCTCTAACATGAGGAACAGACGCTATTTCAACCGCCTCTAACATGAGGAACAGCTATAGTTGGGGAGCTGGCGTCAAAAACATGCAAGAGTTTTCGCAAGGCGGATATTTTCAAAATAGGTCGTACTTTAGTGTTAGAATGCTAGTGTACAGTCAGCACTCACAGTTTCGGGACAGCTGGCTCTGGGACGCGGGCAAAGTTGTAATTTTAAGAAGCATCTAAACTGTTTTCTCAAAGCTCAAAATTTATAGAAATTTTGCACATTATCTCTTTGAAGGTCACAGATAACGTATGTAAATCGGCAGACGTCTAGTTCATTGCAAAAAGGGGGTCAGACGTCCTCAAAGTTTTTATTTTATGGCATTTTCTTCAAATATATTTGTCAAATACCTGCAAAAATATATTTTGACAGGACACCGAAGAAAATGCCATAAAATAAAAACTTTGAAGACGTCTGACCCCCTTTTTGCAACGAACTAGACGTCTGACGATTTACATACGTTATCTGTGACCTTCAAACAGATAATGTGCAAAATTTCTATAAATTTTGAGCTTTGAGAAAACAGTTTAGATGCTTCTTAAAATTACAACTTTGCCCGCGTCCCAGAGCCAGCTGTCCCGGAACTGTGAGTGCTGACTATACACTAGCATTCTAGCACTAAAGTACGACCTATTTTGAAAATATCCGCCTTGCGAAAACACTTGCATGTTTTTGGCGCCACCTCCTGGACTACTATTTGCGGCCGCCCATTTTGGATCAGACGCCGCTTTCCTGTTGTTCCGCGAAAAGTATTTAATTTCTCTCCTACCACTCATATCTGGGATGCATTTCCCTATCCGCCATCTGGGGACGCGTTCTCTAGGGGTAACAGACTCTCCCGACAGGGGGTCTACTATCAAGAAATTCAGAAACGGTTTATTAGAGTAATCCAATCTGCTCAAGATGAGTACAGCTCGGAGTACAGATTCTACATTGAATTTCTCCTGCACGATCTCACCAAAACATTCTTGGATCTTAGATCTTATTTTGGAAAAAACAATCAGCTAAATTGAAACAAAACTTCATTATTTTCAGCTACCGATTTACACAGATTGCAGTAGATCCGCAAGTGAAAGTTCCTGGAGGAAAAACTTATGATGTACTTTTTATAGGAACAGGTAAGAAAATTATTTTTATCTACAAGCGTTTGGTTAAGACGTTTTTACATAACCATTTTTCTGGTATTTGAGTTATGTCATGAGACTCATAACATAACTAGTTGTGTTATAGCCTAGGTTATGAATTCATAACACAACTAGTGGTGTTATGGACTAGGTTATGAATCTATAACACAACTATTTTTGGTGATTTGACAAATGTCAAAGATAAACCTGTAAATATAAAATGAAGGTGGACAACTACTAATAAACGGAAATAATGGAAAAAACATTCTTATTTTTCGCTTTGCAGATAAAACGTTGTACATCACACGTGCGTTTAAACATGACTACAAAACTCGTGTGATTAGGACGACTCGGTCTACGACCTCGTCGTTCTAATCTTTCACACTCGTTATTGTAATCATGTTCATAAACGCACTTGTAATGTAAATAACTATTATGTACGAACCACACTGTAAGAGCTAATTACGTAACTCATTTTAGCCTGTTTGAGTTACGTAACAAGTTGTATTATCGTACTTAGTGATGTAATGAGCTCATTACGTAACTCATTTTATTGAAAAACGGCACTTTTTAAAATTTATTTATCCGAAAAAATTATAAATATAATTTATTGTGAAAGGTCATACATAAAAAGTTGTATATGTACGGTAACGCTCATTACACCACTCGTGTGATTACCAAGACTCGGTCTGCGACCTCGTCTTGGCAATGTTCCCCACTCGTTACTGTAATGGAGTTCATACCGTACTAGTGAAATAAATAACTATTATATTACTTAACCATATATCAATAACACAGATATGTACGGGATGTTATGTTCCACCTAAGGAGGTAACCGGCTATATCGCAGAAACCTAATACCAATAGAACTTCGGATAAAAAGAAATTATTGATAAAAGAGGCCAAGAGAAATTGCTGGAAATTATTTTCGTTTCTAAGATGGCCGCTAGGGGTCGCAGTTATTTTGTCAAAAGATAAAAATATAATTTCATTGACAATTTCACTAGAGTGTTTTACACTGGCAAAATGTCATAGGAACGGCCGGTTTCCTACTGACAAAACTCCTACCTGTTCCTACCTGGACAAAACCAACATGATGGTTTTTCAGCGACAAAATTTTGTGTGGTTCAGGTAAAAAACTATTGAGTTTGACAAGTGTCACCTAAAGAAATAGTATATTTTGTATTTAGGTGGAAAAGTGAAACATTCTCGGCCAACGGTGTAAGTTGACGGGCGAGGCGTAGCCGAGGCCGGCAAACACCGACCTAGGCCGGAAAAGTGTTTCCCGTATTGTTATTCATTGATTCCTTAGCAACTATTGAAACATAATTAAAATACCAGAATATTGAGTTTTGCGACCTGTCAACCGGTCAAAAATGCTGACATTTCTTGTCAATCGCAGAAAAATAAATTTTCCAAATAAAAATTTGGCTTGTTTTTCTCGTGAAATAGTCCAGCCGAATGCCACTCAAGAAAAAATTATATAGGCAAAATTATTCTCTTGGTTTTATTCAAGTTTGTTGCTCTTTGTTAAGGCGGATTTAAACAACTTTTGATAAATTTAAGTCGTAATTTTTTCATAATTTAATGCGTAATTTAATACATAACTCAATACCCCAGTTTAAACAACTTCATAATTTAATACATAATTTTTGAAATTTCATCAATATTCTATTGATATTTTGAAATTTGACGCTGATAGAACTCAGAAGGTCCAGTTTTTTCATAATTTAATGCATAAAAATTAAAAGTTGGGAACTTTCAAGGTTATCCATTATGAACTAAATTATGAATTGAGCATTAAATAGATGTATAAACGCTTCCATAGAAATTAATAAAGTTCGTTTTTTTTTTAAAGATAATTCCCCAAGTCAAAAATGTAGTAACTATGTTGGCAACACAAGCCTTTTCTACATAAAAAAATTGAAAGCATTGACACTTTTACATTATATTGCCAACATAATGTCATTTTGACTTTTATCTTTAAAAAAAAAACAGATTTTAAATTTAACTTTAAAGCTTATGCACTAAATTGTGAATTACGCACTAAATTAAAGTTATGAAGTTGTTTAAACTCGCCTTTAATTTCGCTCATGAAATGTCATTCGCCAAATTGCCAAGCAACAAACTTCCATACCAGTCGAAAATTTTGCCAGCAAATTTTTTTCTCTTGTGGTATTATATGTACAGTGTCCCCCATAATGTTCGCTACATAAGTATGGGGAATTTTTTTATTTGTGGGATATGGAATTTTTTTTATCTGCGATCGATCCTGCATGTCCGATAACCTAAAAGTGCATTTTGACATTGGTCACGTGATCACTGTTGTGGCGGTAAATTCAAAAATTTTTGTTATGGAAACGCGAAAAGTGGGGTTAGATGGCAAAATTTCGGAAAAAGGTATTTGAAAAAAATGATTAGAATGATGTTTTAGGGCTTTCTGCGAAATTTGGAGTAAAAACAACAAAAAACAGGAAATAACTTATTTTTCGCCATGGATCTCTTATCAACTAATATTATACAGTTTTTATTGTTTAAATAGTCCAAGTACCTCAATATTTAATGTGTATTGGTAAAACAAACGTAACTTCTTCATTGGAATCATTTTTAGAGAATAAAATAAAAATTATTGATTAGCACATGAAACTATTCTGTAGCAATACCCTGTATCTGGACAGTTAAGTAAGGTGTTTTAGAACTGTATTGAAATATTTGATAAAAAAATCTCAATAACGAATATTTTCAATAGTTTTATCAACATTAAGTTATTGGATATCTCAGAAACTGTCAAGATATAGGGTATTGCTACAGAAAAGTTTCATGTGCTAGTCGAATATATTTTTTTAATCCTCTAGGAATCATTCCAATGAAAAATTTAAGTTTGTTTTACCAATACACATTAAATATTGAGGTAGTTGGAGTATTTCAATAATAAAAATTGTATAATAAGATTTGATAAGAGATCGATGGCTAAAAACAAGTTATTTCCTGTTTTTTGTTATTTTTCCTCCAAATTTCGCAGACAGATCTAACCCCACTTTTTGCGTTTCCATATCTAAATTTTCGAATTTGTCGCCACAACAGTGATTACGTGACCGACGTCAAAATGTACTTTTAGGTTATCGGACATGCAGGATCGATCACACATAAGAAAAACTTCCATATCCTACAAATAAAAAAATTCCCCATATGTAGCGAATATTATGGGGGACACTGTATATGAAAAAATATCTGAATACGATTAGGGACGTCAATAATTATCACCATTTTAATCTTTGGTACTTTCTGAACAAAAGAGCTCAGGCACAAATTTTTGTCCGATGTGAAATAAAGTGGTAGGGGGAACTTTATATTTTAACATCAAAGTTGCGACCCCTAGCGGTTATCCTACAAACTTGAAAACAATTTCCAGCAATTTCTCTTGGTCGCTTTCAGGGATTTTTTTTTTCAAAGTTCTAGTGGTATTCGTTTCTGAGATATAGCCGGTTACCTCCTTCGGTGAAACACCTGGTACACTAGCAATTTTCCACATGCCAAAAAAAACTTAGAATAAATAATTTTTTATTTTAGATAACGGTAAAATAATAAAAGCAGTTAATGGCCTTTCGGCCGAGACGCGCCATGGAGTCCGGACCGTCGTTGTGGAAGAAATCCAAGTATTTCCTGTCCACGTTCCGGTACGGGGTATAAAAAAAATGAAAAGCGGCCAAAAAGGAGAAGGAAGATTAATCGTTGTCTCTGATACCGAAGTGCAATCTTTGAGGCTGCACAGATGTGATAGCAACAAAATATCCAGCTGCAGGTAAGAAGATAAATCGATTTTATATTTTCACCTCCTACTTGCATTTAGTTAAGGTAACTGTTGAAACTGTTCCAATTTTTTTTTTTCCATTGTCATTACAAAAAAAAAAATGTATGTAGGTACCTACTGTTAGTACTTCTCTTTGAAACCATAAGTAATGTTAACGAATGGATGCTATCACTTGAAAAGAGTTGAAAGTACGCAAAATTTCAAATTTCAGACAATAAATGTTTGTTTCTGACGATGGATGATAAAAATTTAGCTGATACTGCACAACTTTTGTATTTACATTTATCATCTACCTGTAAAGGTGAAGGCTTCAGGGTGGGGTGTCAAATAGGGAATTTTCATGAGAAATAAATATGGCTTATTTTGTTTTTATGGTGCACATATTTTTCTATAGAATATTGAATATGAGCAGTATTGTATCAAATTTATGGATATTATAGTCATACGGCAATTATTAGTTTCAAATTGAAAAGTTTCGCGCGGAAAAGTTACGTTTAACATGGCCACATCCAGTGACGTGAACTGTTCGTAAACTAAGATTAAAGGTATAGTTTACACTGATCGTAAATCCACGATCTACACTTTCGTGGTTCACTCTTGAGTCGTGGAACGATTGGTCCACGATCAGCTCACATCACGCCACGACTGATATTGAACCATCATAAACGGGTCTATATAGGGAAGATTGTCAGACTGCGCTTTTGTAAATCCTATATGATGAACTATTTGAAACACAAAATGTCACAATATGGCACTAAATACGGAAACCCCACATAACAACCGCTTTCAATGCAGTCGAAGGTTCAAGCTAAGTGATTCCTTCTGAATGTTTGCAAAGTGTCAGAGGCTCTTGATCTTGAAGCTAATCGTTATCGCGCCATCGAAAATAATTTTAAATTTAAAATATTTTTTTTATTTTAATGAGGACATATACAGTTTATATTTGAAAACATAACCAATAAGAAAAAAAATACCTTGAAAAAAATGATTGTTCCCTATTATAACCAGACACCCTGTACAGGGTGGTCCAAATTGGACACTTTCTTATGGAAACACCCTTTATTTTTGTAGATAGAAAAAAATGAACCCCCCACTCTGAGGCTCAAATTTCATGAAATTTTGATTGGTGCAAACCGCATTTTGATATCTTCAACCGTTTAGCCGCTAGAGGGCGATTCTCGATTTTGAGCAATACTGTGAAACCTTCATAACTTTTTTGTTTATGAAAATAATTGATTTCCGTAAAGACTTCCTAGAGGCACGTTTTTAAGAAGAATTCAGTGACGTTCTCAGTTTTTTTCTAATTGACTCGGATTTCGAGATATTGACCAAAATTCGATTTTTTTCAATAGAACACCCTATCTATTAATAGCTTATTGGAAAGCTCTCCTTTCACTGATTTCAATGATATAAAGTTCGATAGGTTTATCCCTAACAGTTTCCGAGAAAAAAAATTATTTCTGTTTTTGTCATAAGAAACAATGTGTTAGAAAGAGACCTTTCTCGTTTTCCTTACAGATATAAAGCCCTTTTCCAACACATTGTGTCTTATGACAAAAATCGAAATAATTTTTTTTTTCGGAAACCGTTGGAGATAAACCTATTGAATTTTATATCATTGAAATCAGCAAAAGCAGAGCTTTTCAATGAGCTATTAATATACCGGGTGACAATGAAACTACTACCCACGGCGGCATTTCTTAACGGCTCAAGATAGAAATATGCAATTTCGTATGTCGATAGGGTTGAAAATTTTGAACAATTTTAATATAAAAACAATTGAATATCTTTTCCGGTTTCACCGGAAATGGCCTTGACTTTGTTATTTCAAATGGGTCACCCTGTATATTATATTTTTTTTGGACTCTCTCAACAATTCTAAATAACTTTTGTGTTACATACCCTATGTCAAAAATTGATAGTTTTTGAAATAGAGTGGCTCAAAAATATGTCGTAATCCCTATTTGTTTGTATTTTATGCAAAAACTGAGTATGCCAGAACAAAAAAAATCATGGTTATTTGCTCCTTATTCAAAGAGGTATCCGATAAATAATAAAAAAGAAGAAATTATGCAAGTTAAGAAAAACGCGTTTTTCGAAAATGAATGTTTCAGTTTTTGATCGGAGCCTGTACGAAACTGGTTCATCTTATGGAAATGAAACTTCCACTACCCAATCCTACTTTTTTATCCTTTATTCAAATATGACCACAGAACATATCACCTATAGAAAAATATCTCAAATGGAAGAATCGCGACAAAGGTTTTTAGTTAGGTTTTCATTCAACGATGGCGACACTGTCGGGAGATAAGAGAAATTTACAGGTATCTGTGGTGTGGACAGTGATTTGTGTTGGTTGGTTTTGTCATTTATTTTGTCATTTTAAAAGTCAAAATTTGAATTTTTTAAATTGTGTTGTTGTACCCCACGGTTTCCACGCGCGTTAAAGTGAAAATTCAAAAAGTTTTGGTTTAAAAAAAACCTAATTTTTGTTCGTATTTTTTTGTATTTATTCGTTTGTTTCGTTTCGTTCGTATTTGTATTTATTATTCGTATTTACTTTGCGATCTATCTATAACTGCGTGTCTCTTGCTAACTTACTAACTCTTTTTGCACTATGTTCGACATCGGAAACTTCCTGCCAGTCATAGTTTTTAAAAAAATGAGGCGAAAAGAGCTAAGAAGAGTCAGCAAGCCAAATGCAGTTGAACATTAAAAATTATACAAAAATAATAAAAATATATGAAAAAAATCAATTCGCCTTTTTGTCAAGAATACTCGATTAGTTGGGTTTTCAGTCAACGAGGGCGCCGTAATTCATAACCGGTACATACCATTGCAGATACTTTTCTAGAGGTGATATGTTCTGTGAATATGACAAATTCAACCTTCATAGATACCTGCAAAATTCAAAATTTGATAACCCATTCTCAAGTTGTCACTTCACTCATTTAATTACATATACCTACGTCTCTATTTCAAAAACTATCAATTTTTAACATGGGGTATTCATACAAAAGTTATTTAGAATTGTTCAAAGAGTCCAAAAAAAAGATAATATACAGGGTGTCCCATTTGAAATAACAAAGTCAGGGCCATTTCCGGTGAAACCGGAAAAGATATTCAATTGTTTTTATATTAAAATTGTTCACAATTTTCAACCCTATCAACAAACCGAGTTGCATATTTCTATCTCGAGCCGTTGAGAAATGGCGCCATGGGTAGTAGTTTCATTGTCACCCGGTATAGGATGTCCTATTGAAAAAAATCGGATTTTGGTCAATATCTCGGAATCGGAGCTAAATAGAAAAAAGCTGAGAACGTCACTGAATTCCACTTAAAAAAGTGCTTCCAGAAAGTCTTTACAGAAATGAATTATTTTCATAAATAAAAAAGTTATGAAGGTTTCACAGTATTGCTCAAAATCGAGAATCGCCCTCTAGCGGCTAAACGGTTGAAGATATCAAAATGCGGTTTGCACCAATCAAAATTTCATGAAATTTGAGCCTCAGAGTAGGGGGTTCATTTTTTTCTATCTCTAAAAATAAAGGGTGTTTCCATAAGAAAGTGTCCAAATTGGCCCACCCTGTACATAGGCTACTCAGTAAGAAGGTACCTCTGAACATTTGCATATTTTTTCATATCAAAGAGACGTTTTTTAAACCGAGAAAATGCATTTCTTTGTTCACCTCAATCTGAGATTCATTATCAGGACTACAAGGGGAATTCGATGCAGATTTCAGTTGCATCTTAAATGCACAAGAAAATGCATTAATAGGTATATCAAGCCACGACAGCCGTGGGATAATAACGACACGTGAATTTATGCAGGGATAGATTAATGTGGGCTTCAATATCGGAAGTGACACATTCGGCAACGATGAGATATGGAGATGCGTTAAATTTTTCAATAGGTATTTATGTCTGTGTAGCATCCGCGCCAAGTACTCTATTATTTAGGTTAGATGGTAAATTGCGAGCGGTCGTATTTGATGGTAATTATTTTCTTGGGCAGCTACTGAAAAATAAAATTGTGGGGGCGGGTCTATTTGCAATTGAAAGAAACAACTGATTTATGGTTATCCGTTAATAATTATACTTTATTAATGAGAAAATGAACAGATTTATATTTCCAATTACAATGGTACAAATTTTCTAAACCCTAATCGAACACCTTTCTAAACAAAAATAAACAATTCTAAATTGATCCAATCGCACAGCCACCTCCACACTCTCTGAGCTTATAAATCAAATGATGCAATCAAAAAGCCTTGTACTTTAAAAACAGTTTCATATAGCCCCATTACGTTAGGTACAATATTTTTAAATCCTAAACACCTTTTACACCTCAAAACAATAACTCATAATTTAGTTTCCTCATTATAACTTTCTGTTCTATAAGCGGATAAAATCCCTGAACTCGCTTACTGCCAAATTTTGTACAATACTTACACCCATTTGCACCGAGTTTTTCTTATGAGACCCTTTAGTAGTAGTATTGTCTTTGCCTTAAGCTAATTGTCCCTTGAAGCACCATTACCGATTTTGACGCTTTGCACCACCTTTAATGGACTCTTTTTTATGTCTCCCTTAAACCGGTCTTAGCTAAATCTCCAAATTTTGTCCTTTAACTATCCCTTAACATTTTTTTAATCATTTTTAGTGAAAAGTTAAAAATAAATTAGTTATTTTTCTACGAGCGTGCATTTTTTATTACTTTCCCGCACGCATCTTAGTTCCGAAAATGTCACTTTCCCGCACTAGTGCGCGGTTTGTTTTTCCCGCACTAGTGCGGGAAAGTGGCGTTCAGAAGAAGTGTCAGTTTTGTTAATTAATCAAACATTTTATCTATTTTGTCTGCCTACATTTTTGCTAGATATACTAATTTATGCGCTCATAAACTATTTTAAATATTCCTATTTTCTATTTTAATCCATATTATTCTAATTTGTGAATATTTCAAAAATGTTATAATTTTTTTTGACATTGTT